CTGGCAAGCGGGCGATAGTTTTTGCGGTGTGAGTTATTGCTCATCTGGTAACAGAGTGGAGAGCATAAAAAAAAGAAAAATCTATTTCCCATGGGGATTTTATCTGGCCATCGTTCAGATATTTAAAGCCATTTGCACTCAGATTTTTGCACGCCTCCCTCAAGGAGGGTGAGCGTGTTCCCTTTGGCCCAGGGGACCTGAACCAAAGTCCTGGGTCAGAGCAAAGGCTCATCTTGCCTGGTGCCCCACGTCCAACAGCTGCCAGGAGCGGATGCTTGAGGACTGTAAATAACCCAACAGAGCAAATGCATGCTCCATCCCCCCGTGTGCCCCTCCGGCAGCTATGGCAAGCGATGGGTGAATGTGAAGTTCAGAAGATGAGCAGGGTTTGTTTAGACCCTGGTTTACACCCAACTAATTAATCCATCTAGAATTCCTTTGGCTTGGGAATGAGGTACCAGCTGTAGACCAGGCCGCCCCGCTGCTTGCAGAGAGGGCATTCCCTTGGGCTGCGGCTGCCGCCTGCCTCCCTCTCCTCCCGTTGGAGAGGAGTCCCCCGTTCCTGCAGCAGCTCCCAGTACCATAGCTGATATTTGATCTCGGATTAGTCATCCAGTTCGCAGAAGGCAGATCTTGAATATATGCTCTCTGCTCTGAAGCCATCTGTCATCACTTACTTTCAAATCCCCTCTGAGCACGTCCGCGGAAGGAAGACGACTTACCTGGGGCTGGGAAAGCCGGGCTGGGAAAGCCGGGACTGGGTGTACTGCGAGTGCGAACAGCCAGAGCATGGCTCTTGCTTGGTGTCCCCTGGTGTCAGCAGCAGCCTCTCCACAGGGGACAAGAACATGCCTGCTCCGAAATCTGCCCTCTCCCACCCAGGTTAGCCCAGGGGCAGGGGCACGCGGGGAGCGCAGGCTCAGCGTAGCACCCCGACAGTAACTGGCAACTGCCTCTCGGGGCTGCACGTGGCTCTGGACAAATTGCTCTGACAGCTTCAAACCCTGCCTGTGCTCGGACAGTGGTAGGAAAGAGGGACCGGCTGCTGCTCAGTTCTGTCCCTGCTTCTGCCTGCAGCCCCAAGGCTTCCCACGAAATCAGTCCCATGGGCCGGCGGGGTTAAACGCAGTCGGTAGGTGGGTGTCAATCAAGAGCTTCCTTTTAACAGCTTCTTCTTCCCCGTACGTTCCCTGTGACGGGGTGGGGGACCGGGCCAGCCGCCACCACCCCGACAGTCCAGGCCAGTCTGCACCAACAGCCTGGAGCAGGTTGCGGTGGCAGCAGGGGTGCTAACCATCAGCGAGGTCTTCAAGGACATCCAGCTCTGGTGGTTCTGAAGAAGATTTAGGGGGGGCAGATGCCTGCGAACGCCTCAGGGGAAATCGAGGTTTCTGTTCATGTCAGTTTGTGTAAGGAGCCGGCACCTATTTTGGTTTAAAAGCTGAACTGCAGGCTTCGCTTCCCCACCTGCTTCAAGAGGTTGGTCGCGCTGAAGCCAGCCGTTGGGTGCTGGCGTGCCGCCAGCGAACAGAGCTCTTGCGCTCCCCGAAGGCCGTGCTTTCGGGAGCAGATGTGCCCTGTGTGGGCCGGGCAGCGCCGTGCCCCATGGCACCCAGCTGGGAAACAGGCTGCGGGGCCAGCAGCCCAGCGGGGAAAAACGAACGCGCGAGTACTCCTCGTCACCTCCGAGATGTCCCCAGAGGGGCACTGGGCCTGTGCCCCTAAATCTGGGAAAGAGAAGCAAGCCGGGTAGTTTATTCTGAAAAATGCAGGGAAGAAGAGGAGGAGAGAGTTGCTGTTTTGGTCTCCCCGAGGCGCAGGGTCAGCACGGCCGTCGCTGCCCGGCGCGAGAGCCGCGGCGCCCGCGTGCAGCCGAGCTGGGCTGGCCGGGCTCCTCGCCCCCCTTGAGTGCGGTGCCTGCCGTCTCCGCGCTGTCCTCACCCCCCCGCCTCTTCCCAGCAACCTTACACAAATCACGTACCTTTTTACCGCTCATCGTTATTGTCCTCATCAATAATTAAGCTGCAAATTTCTCGCTGCTGGCTCTGGCAGGAAGCGGAGGTCGGGCGCGCTCTCCCCGCCACCCGGCCTCCCTTTTGGAACAGAGTGTTCCTGTGTGCGCGAGCGCTTGCTTGCTTAATTGCTTGTGACACTGTTAAATATGGATCTTGGTGGCTTTCCAAGGGCACCCCAGCAGAAGTGCTGTACAAAGGAACCATTACCAGGATAATCGGAGAAGACAGCCCCAGCAGAGCAGAGAAAGTGAGAGAGGATGCCATGCCCAAAGGACATGTCATTTACGAGGGGAAGAAAGGCCATGTGCTCTCCTACGACGGTAAGCTTGCATCCCCTGCCTTTTTAGGACAGGCGCTGGGGGTACGCGCAGTGGTGGTTGGGATTTGGGAGCTATTTGAGGAAAGGCTGGCAAAGGGTAATGCGCAGGCCTCGCATGGTGGCTTCCAGATTCGCTTCTCTCCCTTCTCACCCCACGTCCTTCCTGCCTGCACCAGATTCCCCTCTTGCAGTTGATCTTTCCTTCGACGCTGCCTCGTGACGAGTGCAGATGGGGCCAGCCAGGGATGCGGAGGGAGGCAGTCGTGCACAGGTCTCTTCCCGTATCGGCCCCGTACGTTGGAGCCCCTCGGGGGGCTAGTGCCGACATGTTTGGCCTGCTGCATCGGAAAAGGCGTGTGTGTTTTCTGGACATGCCGCGGGGGGGGGTGGAGCGCCGCGCCCGCCGCAGCCCAGGGCTGGACATGGTTGCAGCCCTCGGTGCCTCACTGCCTTCCTGGTTCTGCAGGGAGCCAGGTCCCTGGGTCCTGTCCGGGGCCCTGCTCGGTTGGTTTGGGGGCCGAGGAGCTGGTGAGAGTAGAGGAGCAGATGAAGAGGTATTGCCTTCACCCCAGCATGCCTGTGAGCAGCAGAGTGTCCAGAGGGGTGCGAAAGGACCCCCATGGTCAGGCTCAAGGTGGTGCCTGTGAGATGGAAGCAAGCGAGTTTGGCATACAGGTTTATTCGGATATCAGACTTTTGACGTGCAGCATCTCCCCCTGGGGCACCATGCAGCCGGTCCCTGCAGCACAGTGCCTAGGATTCCCTGTGGCACAGGGAATCCTGTTCCCCAGGACCTCAGGAGCCTGGCCTAACCAGGGCTGCATGGGGTGCTCAGTGTGTCCTTTCTGTGTGACCAGTGTGACAGACAGCCTTGAGCGGCCCAGGGCTGAGCAGAGCCAGGAGGAAGCAGGCAGTGTCCCGTACTGTCCCCTCCTCTTCATCAGCCGGCGGAGGTGAGCAGGCAGCACGTCCAGGCTGGAGGAGATGGAAGCGATCCCACTCACGGAGCCGTCTGCTTGCAGGGTTACAGCTGGGAGTCCAGTGCCTCCCACTGCTGGCCGCTTGTCCCAGATCTCGGAAAGGACAGTGCTGGCGCAGTGCGACGTGGATTGACCTGCATTGAAAATCGGTAATGAGTCAGCCCCTGGCTCCTCCAGACCCCGACACGATGGAGTCAGCGTGCCTCGCTTGTGGCCTTCATTATCACAAGAGTTTTGCTGCAGTATCTCTAGCTTTCGGAGGGGGCAAGGCCATTCCCTCTTCCAGCAAGGAGCCTGTGGGATGTGTTTGGCCTGTTGCTGGTTGCTATGGCCTGTTGTCCAGAGGTGCTGAGGACCCCAAAGGACCTGCCCAGCAGCCTGTCTACATGGAGTGCAGACTGCCCTCTGCACGGTTGGCGTCACTTATTAACCAGGCTGACCCCGCTGTCTGGGCAGAGAACAGCGCAAGAAGAATGCTACCAAAGCAAACATGGGGCAAATGGCTGCAAGCAAGCCTGACCTTCTCAAGAGGGCTGTGGAAAGACCCAAAAGCTGTGTTGCAGCTCGCACCCCTGCTGTACAGTAACGCGCTTCCTCGGTTCCCGCCGAGGCTGCCTCGCCATGTTCGCAGTATCAGCATGCAGTCACCAGCTGTTACTGCCTCCTCTGCGCCTGCTCTTCGGATAGCAGCGCTGGCCATAAAAGTCTATCTGCAAGCCCTGGCGGCTTCCATTAGAGATAAGCAGATGTTCATCTCCAGTGAAGCTAGAAACGACTCCTCCGTGCTCTCCTTTTACTGTGTGCTGGGTCAGGCATCTCCAGGCTGCAGCTGCCTTTGGCTGGGAGCCTGGCTCCTCCTCGCCCAGAGTGGGGATGAAGAAGAGCTGAGTTACAGAGACCCCCCTCCTCACAGCCGCTGTCTCCCTGGGACTCTTGGCCCCAGGGCCCTGGGGCAAAAATGGCTGGATAACGGAACATGCTTTGACACGCATATGAAAAGCCATCTAGCAGAGCTATGTCACGTCTGTTCTGAGTTGAACTTAGAGATGACTAAGGACGAGATCCTAATCTCAGTTGTATCCACCCGCCTCAGCAGGTCTCTCTTAGATCGGCTGCTGTGCTGCATGCCTGTGGCCTCCCTGGGGCCGCGGTGTCCCTCGTTGTTAACCCACAGGGAGAAAATCAAAAAGGGGACGTCCTCAAAGTCCTTCCCTGGCACCTTGGCCACGGGCACTGGGTGCTCTGCGTTCACTCCATGGCTTTGTGCCCTCCAGGGTGGGACGGGGCTCACCCAGCCCGGCCCTGCTGTGGGGCCAGTGGCTCCTCTCCAGGTGTTTGCCTTGCCTTCCACTATGTTGCACCAAAAAACGGATAGATCAGGCCTTCAGCAGGGCAGACCTCAGGCCGTCCCCCTGGCTGTGCTCACATCACCTTCAGTTTGTGGCTGGATGTCGCAGGCTGGTTATTGCACCCAGATCTGGAGGCAGAGTGGGTTCAGTCTCGCGGTGTGGGACAGCGCGCAAGCTTAGGCTGAAGACACCTCCCTCCATGCGCCTCGGTGCTGCAGGGACCTTCGGGGCCAGGGCTGAGGCCTGCTCTGGCTGTGCCTCCTGCCCGCCGCCTGGAAGCCAGCTTGTCCCCTGCCTGCCCGCATTTGCTGTCAACTCTCTCCTCGATAAAAAGTGTCGCTGCAGGAGGCTTGTGTCAGCATGTCCTTTGGGACGGTTGGCAGGATTCGTCCCGGCGAGAATGCAGAAAGAGTTCTGGGACTTGTTTGTGCAACGAGCTATTTTAATCTCCTTTGCCCAGGCTTAGAGTCGAATAAGGCTGATCTCAAAAGCGGTGCCACCAGGGGGAGAGACAGGGAAGGCTCCCAGCCAGGCGAGGGCTGGCATGGCGCTGGCCGTCCATGCGTGGAGCCAAGCGCTGAGCTGCGATTCCTCTCGAGGCGACGAAAGGAAACCTGAAGACTAAAGTCTTTCCCATTGCGTGTCACCATGCCTCCCGCTGTGGGTCCTGTCCCATGGGTGGCCGCGGCGCTTGGAGCGCTACGGCACCCCAACCCAGGCCATCCCCTGGAGAGAGCTGGCCGTCCCTGGCACGGGAGACAGGCTGGGCGCTGCCTGGCGCCTCTCAGCCTGCTTCCCACCACTCGTGTCCTTGCCTCGGGTCCAGCTTGTCCTTGAAACGATGGGCGTGTTGGCAGCGCTGCCGGAGGTGACTCACGGCTGGAGGCCCGGGAAGAGCTAGGTCTCCCCGCCCCACTGCATGCCCCGCTGGAAGAGCTGCCATAGCCGCAGGAGAGGGGCTCCGCTAACCCCAGGGCTGGCCCCTGTCTGCATCTGCCTGGAGGGAAGCTATGAGATGTGATTTGGTTCTTCTGCAAGGTATTGTGCTCCATTTTCTCCACCAGCTTCACCTGGTGTGAGGCATGGGCCTACAGGGCTAAGAGCATCCCATCCTTGAGATCCTGAATCATTGGTGGGATCCTCACAGCGAGGGACGGAGATGTCGCACCCTCCTGAGCGCTCGCTCCAGGGCTGTGCCACTGCTGAAGGAGAGCTTTCCCCAACGCCCAGCCCAAGTCTCCCCTGTTACGCCCTGATCCCATTGCTTCTTGTCCTACCCTCTGTGGACGTGGATGAAGAAGTAATTCCGTCCTCTCCATAGCAGCCTTTCACACGCTTGCTAGCATTTATCACATAATCTCAGCTGCTTCTGCAGACTAGCCAGCTCTGCTGACCATCCCCTTTCCCCAGGACAGCGCTGGGAAGGCTTCAAGTCCTGAAGTGAAAGAGTTAAAAGATTAAATAAATAAATAAAATTAAAAGACTGAAATTGTTGGTGATTATGAATTTTGGCAGGCAGAAAAAAAATTGCAAATTCTTTAGTGTCATGAGGGTGCTTAAAATAAAAGGGCTGTAATGAGATGAGATCCTGTAGCATGTGCAAGCTGAATTGTGCTAGATTGGTTATTCTCATTCCGCCTATGATTGCTAACGGCTTGTGCAAGGCAAGGGACATGTTTGTGGAGCGATTTTCTTTCTGTTTAGTCTCTCTCCTCCCGTGCGCCCTCCTCCTGCTTCCCCACGATACAAAGGGTGCCCAGGACCGTGTTCCCTTCTGCAGAAGGCTGTTTGCAGCAGATGTGCCGTGACGACAGGGTGCAGGAACATCACCCCCTTCCTGTGCCTCGGGGTGCTTGGCTGCTTCCTGAACATCGTTTGCAGATTTCTCCCACTGAATGAGTCTGAAGCAGAGGCTTGGGGACAGATCCACCTCCAGTTTCCCAGAACGTAGCCCAAACCCTTTTTGGACTGAGTGGATGCTGATTGTGAAAACTGGTAGTCGGTGTGAGGTTGTAATAATTCCATTTTATTACTGGTTTTGCAGAGGAGAATTTTTGTTCCCAGTTCTCCATGATGGAAATAATGTTTTTAACTTCTCCGTTTTGTCTAATTGTATAACGTACATTCTCTGCCCCTGAAAGAAGAGGATCAGGGCATCGGCATTTCTTGGCAGGCAAGACCAGGCCAGGGATAATGGGCAGAGGTATTTATCTCTGCAAGCCAACATCATAGCTTGGAGCTCGTTACATAAACACGGGGCATTCAGCTGGATCAGAAAGTGCCTGGTAACTTCACAGCTTGCAGCACACGATGAAGAAAATTGGACAGCAGTGGCAGGATGGATTTGGTGCGGCAGACGCAAAGGCAAGGCACAGCTTTTCAGGCCCCGGAGCAGGCTGTGCCAGGAAGCCCATCACTTAGAGAGAGCATGGCCTGGCCTGGCACAGGCAGGGTTGTGCTGGCAGAGAGGTGGGGGCTGTAACTCAGGAGAACCCGTCTGCCTTGGGTTTGCATAAGAACCTGTTTCAGGTTTGGAGGAGGCTGTGGTCCATGGCCTGCAGTGAGTCTGGTACGTGCTCCGTCAGTCTTGTTTTGATGCATGGGACTTTTCACTGTCTGTCCCAGACATGCACGCTCATTGCTGTTTCAAAGGAATTTATTTTCTCTGCTTTGCTTCACCCCCCTCTTTTGCCTGTTCTTCTCACCCAGGGAGTGTCTCAGCAAATGTTAAGACTGGACAACATCCCGAACAGTAGGTGTCTAACAGAAGTCAAAACAAACAGAAAAAAATCCCCAGAATCAGAGGGCCAAGTTCAGTGGGAATGGCAGCTACTTACACCAGAGCTGAGAGCTTGCTCTGTGGTGTCTCGCTGCCTACATCTGGCCAGCAAAGGGGAGGAAGGGAGTTGGGCAGGGTGGATGCTCCTACCCAAGTAGGAGGAACAGGACTTGGAGTTTGAGGCAGGCGGGGAGGAGAGAAGACATCACATGAATTTCTTGGAAGCCGACCTTGTGCGATGTTACTTGCAAAGCCAAACAGTGGCTGTTGCTCAGATAGGATCTGATCTTTCAGCAAAATATGCAAGCAGGAATAAACGCTCTCCTTCAGCAAGTCCCAACTTTACACGCGTCTGATGTTGTTTCTCTGTGTTCCCTTTCCCAGGTGGTGTTGCTGCTTCTCAGTGTCCCAAAGATGATAGCAGGAGCTCAGGAGCTTCACATGAGACCACGGGAACCAAGCGGACCTACGATATGATGGAAGGGAGGATCAGCAGGGGCTTATCAGCCCGTGATCCGTTATCTGCCAGCATTGAAGGTGGGTCTGGGTGAAACCTTTCACCAGTGCTGTACCGGTAGCGACAGGTAGAAACCCCATCTTCTCTCGGGTCTACATTATGCATCTTCCCAACCCTTTATTCTTATTCTATTAGGATGTACCACAGGGTGCCACCCAACTACTGTTACCTACCGTTAGTTAACTACTGTGACAGTAGTTAGGCACATCGTATGGCACATCCTAACAGGACAGCATCTGAGCAGCATGGGAAAACAAAGGATAAAGACTGGCCCGTTTGCCTTTGGTTTCTGACCTAGTATTCCAATTTCAGGATTACAAAAAAGGAAGAGGAAGCACATTTAGAAGAAGAGAAATTAAGTAATTTAGAAATTGTTATTTTTTTGTTCATTGTCCCAAGATCCTCTGGTAGCGGTGTTATTGTGTGTTCATTGTAAATGGACTTCTGCGTCACAGCCTAATGTTTCCTCTTGGATCTGCTCTAGGTCTAATGGGTCGAGCAATCCCTCCAGACCGACATAGTCCCCATAACCTAAAGGAACAGCATCACATCCGGGGCTCAATAACACAAGGTAATGCTAGCAAGCAGAACAAGGCCACAGTCAGAGGTAACGTGTGAAAATTGCTACGCCGCTGATGTTCTCACACATGTGGCCCCTCGTGTGTCAGAGTAGAGCAGGAGGAACCAAACATGGGCATGTCGGAGTCCAGCTGTAGCTCTCTGCAGCCTTGGTTGTATGGTCAGAGAGAGATTTTGAGTCTTTCTCAGTTTCTGCCTAACTCAGCTCTCACTGAAGTCGGGGTAAAATTCCCAGCCACTCACATGAAGGCAGATTTAGACTAATGCAAAATGGATCCAGAAACTGGCAGTAGATGTCAGAAGTCCTGTCACATTAGCGATGTAGCTGCTCTGTGTGCTCAGTTGGGTACCGATCCCCAAGCTCGGTGCATTAGCTAGACGTCCCATTGGCCTCAGTATCCCCATGAGGACTGTGAGCCCGGTGTCTGGCTGGAGAATCATTCCACTGCGTTGTCTTCTTGGGGGGGGTTGCAGGAATACCTCGGTCCTATGTGGAGGCCCATGAGGACTACCTCAGAAGAGAAGCCAAACAGCTCAAGAGGGAAAACACTCCACCAAGGGACTTATCTGATGCCTATAAGGTCAGGTCTCATGAGGGCCTTACTCCCCTGAAAATGAAACCAGCCCACGAAGGCCTGGTTGCCACGGTGAAAGAAGCAGGAAGATCAATCCATGAGATTCCCAGGGAGGAGCTGAGGCGAACACCGGACATCTCTCTGACCAGGCCTCTGAAAGAGGGCTCTATTACACAGGTGAGTATGGGGCAAATAGCATATTGCACGTAGCACCGTGGGTGTGGTCAGTCCTACTCTAGCTGTTGTCCTTGCACAGAGCCTGGGGGACCATTCCCAAGTTGCAAGGAGAGAAGAGAGGGCTTCTAAAGTTGCAGACATGTCACTGGTCAGAACTTAGGGTCTTCCTGGATACACATTCTCCTTTCTCATCCTTCCCCAACAGATAGATACAAAATTCAGGAGAGGGAGCTCAGCCCCTCCTTGGCATGTTCAGAAAGCAATGCTCCATCTGTGCACGCATGCTCAAGAGGCCACGTTTGGCTCTTGTTCAAGGCCAGAGTCAATCCAGTGCCCTCGGCAATTGTGCCTCTGGATATACAGTCTTGGCCTCTGCCCTTTATGGGCAGCCCAGCAAGGCTACTATATAGGGTGAAGCATAGCATGCTGTCTCCTGTCGGGCTGCAAATATTTGGAGGGTTCCCATGGCACCTGGTAGTTGTACCTCATTTCACAGCATGTGTAGGAGAGAGGCGTGATGGGCACAGACAGCCTATGGCAGTGAGTCATCTTCGTCTTGTTGGGGCACAGCAAGGCTTGCGAAACGGGCACCCCACCCTGCTCTGCTCAGTGCAGTCCTGTTATCTCTGCTCTGATGATGGCTGTTGCCGTTTAACAAGCAAACTGATGTTGCTGTTGTACGGGCCCACTGAGCTAGGAATCACCAAGTCCGGTGGAAAGTTGTTGGGATGTGACCACTGCATCCCCTTCTGCTCTGTGCCCCTTTGACTTCCCCTCTGCCTTGTGTCCCCAGGGTACCCCACTGAAGTATGACAGCAGCTCTTCCTCAGCGAGTACCAAAAAACATGACGTCCGGTCCATCATTGGCAGTCCTGGGAGGACTTTTCACTCTGTGCACTCGCTGGACGTCATGCAAGACCCAAGGAATCTGGAGAGAGCTTATGAAGAGAGCCTGAAAAACAGGCCAAGCCCAGTGACAAACTCAGGTGGCTCGATTGCCAGAGGGGCTCCTGTGATTGTACCTGAACCAGGAAAGCCGCACCAAAGCACCCTTGCCTACGAGGACCACCAGGCAGGGCACAGCACGGCGTTCGGCAGCCATTTGCACAGAGGGTCTCCAGTCTCCACAAGGGAATCCACGCCACGGCAACACGAAGGTACTTACAAGCCCTTTGTTTGATGCTAAGATTTATAGCGAGCTGGTGCATGGGAGGTTGCGGCAAGGTGCGCGAGAAGTCACTGTTGACCTGCATACCTGAGCAGTTCCTCTTAGGTGCCCGTCTAACCTGTTCTCTGCAGCACCCAGCCCCTTCCTGCACCCCACAGCTGCAGGCTGACTCACGGGAGCTGGGGCCACCACCTGGGACTCAGCAACCTTCCTGTGGGAGCCGCAGCAATAGCTCCATGGCTGCACTGGAAAGGAGAATTCAGCCCTGGCTTACGAAACTGATGCTTTTTAGAAAGCATCTTCTCTGTCCTGCTGTTGATGCAGGGCACCCCAATTTCTAAAGGCAGGCAGGAAAGCAGTGCTCGATGCACTGGTTGGAGGGATTTTCGCACTCTTTTCACCAGGCTGGCGAGTATTTGCCTACTTTATGTGTTTATGCCTCCTCTGTCACCTCAGCACCCACGTGCCTCACCTCCAGGAATCCCTTCTAAGCTAGTAGATCTGGGCAGTTCAGCTGGCCTCCAGGCTGGTCTGCCTGGGCCTGGCAGGGTCCTCCAGCTCCCTTTGGTGTTGGTCATCTCCTGTCCCCAGTGCCAGAGCTGGGGCTCCTGGGGACCAGGCATATGTCTGGCCATGCTCGAGTCTGGTGATCCACAGTGCCTGGTGAGATGTGCTCAGCAGAACCAGAGCACAGACCAAAAAACTCTCTTCATAGCACCTTTGTGAGTAGGGTCAGTACAGAATCCAGTCCATAAAGCACCCTTGTCTCATGTCCTCCTGCCTCCCAGCTCTCAGGGGTTTGTAAACCTCGCTTGAGCATATTTATTTCAACAGCCCCCCCACACACACACATCTTCTCCATATCCCACCAGGACCCCAGGGTCTAGGCATTCTTAGGCAGTGTGAGGCATCACTTCTCTCCATCTCCTGCCACTCTGGTTCTCCAGCCGCCGTTGCCAGCCTCTGGCATGTCTGGAGTAGGAGGATGGCTGAGCCGTGGCTGCTGTAAATGTGGTCTCTCCCTCTTGGGGTAAGTGCCAGCAGACTGTTAGCTAGCTAGTAACTACAGCAGCCTGTGAGCACTGCTGGCCATGAGCCGGTGACAGTGCTTCAGGATGGTCTTCACCTGCAAGTCCCCATCCTAGACCAAGGTTCTTGCATGATTTGGGGGCTGCAACATGAGATGCTGCAGTCTGCCAAAAACCAAGACCAGAACATACCTCCTGTGAGAGAGATTGGACTGTGCAGCGCAGTGCTTGGCACAAGCCCTCTCCAAGCCACGAGCAGTGCAGAGCTTCTCCACAAAGCCTCCAGCACTTGCTCTTCACTGGCCAACTGCGGATTGGGCGAGCATTAGCATGGCAGTTCTCTGCCTGGACCTTGTGGTCAGCATGTCCTGTTGCTGCGGTCTCTGCTGTCTTTCTAGTTAAGTCAGTTATTCCCACCAAGAAAGGAGCTGCGTTTTGGGGAAGCTTGCCATTGCTTGGTGGCTCTTTGAGATCTGCACATATGGTGAACGTGCTGTCCTGACAGTGGGGAGGCAACACCCAGGCTGCGGGGAGGTTTCTCAAGGGAAAACTCAAATGTTTCTGTAAAGGGCCAGCAGGAAAGCAGAATCCTGCATATCTCGAGATCACGGGGCATGGGATGCAAAGGATCTGCAGAGGCCAGGGCATCTCTAAAAAGGAGTCCCTCTATTATGGGTCAAAGGTGGAAGGGAGCTTTTCCAAGTCAGTTAAACCTTCCTTCTGCCTCTGCAGTAGGCTTGAGGTTTTTGTTTTTGTTTTTTTTTTAGCAGCCGTGCCAAGTCACTGAGGTTTGTGAAAGGAGAGGGAGTGGTGGTTCGCATAACCCATGTTGTAGCCATGGTTATTTGAAAGTCAACAACAACAGGGCTGGATTTTCCTGCGTGCGCACGAGGGGATGTAAACACCCCTGGCAGCGAGTGGGGCGAAGCCGAGCAGGGCGAGCGCGCAGAACCAGCCAGGGCAGCAGAGCCAGGGCCGGGGAATCGCCTCGCTGCCGCAGTCCGGTCTGCTGTCCATCTGCCTGTCTGCAGACATGGGGCGTTCACGCACTTACTTGGCTGATGGAAAGGAGGGGCAGGCTTGCATTTTTTTCCAAATGGTTCTGGGTTCATTTCTGTGCCATTTGGTGCAAGAGGTGCACGTCCATGCCACTTCGGGGTGGCTGTCTCCATCCGCTGCTCCCCCCAGCCCTTCTGTTAGGGACACATGAACCAGTGACACTGGTCCCAGGCCGGGTGGGAAGCGCCACCGGTGCCCAGCTCAGGCAGGCAGAGCCCCAGGAAGGCCTTGACGTTCTTCCAGCCTCCTCTCCGCCAGCTGTGAAAGAGCTGACAGCTCTGGAGGGCGGTGGGCGTTTGAACCCTCTGAACTGTATTTTGTCACCGTTGCTGGGAGTTTCTGGGGTCCCTCGTTTGGCCCTGCAACATTAACCTCTCCGTTGCTGGCGTGGTGAGGACGCAGAGCCAGGCTCTGCCGCGGGGTGCTCGTGCAGGTCAGGACGAGCCTGTCCAGCAGATCACCCAGCACGTCACAGGTCTCTCGCTGGGCTCTCCACCAGGGAGTATTTTTGAGCTGTGAACAGCGAAACACAAACCCAAGATCAGTGAGCTTAAACTCACTGTGCCTCTGGGGTCTGGGCCACCCCTGGGAAATGCTGGGAGGTCCTAGACAGGAAGAGCTTGAAAGCTGTTGTCTTTGAAGCTAACCTAAGATCTTTGTGGAGGGCAGCCCTAAGGTGGATTAAGGGAAAAGTTTTCCTTCTGTTCCCTTCAGAAGCAAAACCTGGCATCTGGCGTGTGCTCCCCGCTGTAACGGTGCCCCGGGGGAGCAGCCGCGGGCCTGGCAGTCTGGAGGTGCGAGGTTCGCCTGCCGCTCTTTGGCGTGGGCGGCCAGTCCCCCCCTGCCGCTCTTTGCTGAGGAGGCCACGGAGCTTGCGTTGGTGAGGGGGCGGTGGGCTGCAGGAATCGGGAAATCCTCTCGTACGGCTCCTGGCACCGGCTGGCCTCCGTGGCTCCGCTTCCCGCTGTGCGAGAACAAGGCTGTATATTGCCTCCCAGCAGGGAAGTGGGGGGACAAATCGGTCGCTGTCTGTCCCTCTCATGCCAGCACCGTGCGGGAGAGCCGCCCCCGGGGAGTGCGTGCCGGGCCAGCACATGCCTCGCGGGAGTGACGTTTCCCGGTGCTGCTGCTAGCGAAGACGGGGTCACCCGGCGCGTTGCACCTCGTACCTCTGCCCTGTCCTCCCACTTTGGTCTCTCGGGAGGTGGCAGGCGAGGGCAGGATGTCGAAGGTCCCCTTGACGTCCGCCGGAGCCGCGGGCGCCCCTTGGGGCCACGATGCTCGACTTTTCTGACTCATTTCCCTCTGCTCGCTGCAGGGAGCATCACTGCCGGGAAGCCGGTGTCCCAGGACAGAAAGATCACCCCCACGTCACGAGAGCTCACCAACTCCAAGTCTCCGCACGCCCCGGTGGCCGAGCACCACCACCCCATCTCCCCATACGAGCACCTGCTCCGGGGCGTGAGCGGGGTCGACCTGTACCGGGGCCACATCCCGCTGGCCTTCGACCCCGCTGCCATCCCCAGGGGAATCCAACTGGAAGCAGGTACTTTCCGCAGCAGGTTATGGTGGGCTTGGGATTGCTTTTCCCGTGCTAAGCTCCAAAAGGCTGAGGTTGTGCCAGGCAAAAGCACTGCTTTCAGTTTGGCCGTGGTAGATTTGGCTTTAAGCCCTGCTTTATCCAAACCATCCCCCACAGGAGATAGTTTGGAATTTTATTGGTGTAACAGGGGATCAGTTTGGCCCTTCTCCTTAATAAGCTGTGTAATGAGGCGCAGCCAAACGTGCCGTCACGGGCTTCGCAGCGGTCTGCTTCACCCCAAGCAGCGCCAGGAGACTCGTCAAAACTAGGCTGCTTTAATTGTGGCTCACCTCCGGAGCTGTGTCTGCAGTGCTCTCCTCGCCCGGTTGCCTCTGTGTCCCAACCAAGTATCTCCAGCAGACGCTGAGCCTCTGCCAACTGTGCAGTTTTAAGGCCCTGAGACAGCAAAAAGAAAAGCCCTTCTGGCTTCCTCCGCCCCCAAGCTCGTGAAAGCTGATGTTCCCAAATGCAGAGCCTGCCAGCCGAGGGCCAGGTGGATGGGGCTTTTGCATTTGCTGAATCAGGCATCAGGTGTCTCTGAACGTGTCCCCTACTAGCATGGGCAGCCTCCACATTTCCCCCACGTCAGGCCCTGCCTGCTGTCTCCCAGAAACCAATCTCTGGTGAAACCCTCTTTGTTTCTGCATCTTTTTCTCTCCCAGCTGCTGCTTACTACCTGCCGAGGCATCTGGCTCCGAGCCCCACGTACCCCCACCTCTACCCCCCATACCTCATCAGGGGGTACCCGGACACGGCTGCCATGGAGAACCGACAGACCATCATCAACGACTACATCACCTCGCAGCAAATGCACCACAACGCCGCAGCCACGGCCATGGCGCAGCGGGCGGACATGCTGCGCGGCTTGTCGCCCCGGGAACCCTCGCTGGCTCTCAACTATGCAGCAGGTCCTCCAAGCGCGGCACTGTGTGTCGGGGGGCTGGGGGGGGCGTGGTTTGGTGGCACTTTTACATTTTGAGAGGCGGCTGGATCAGACCCAGAGGTACCAGCCTGTTGCCTGCTCCAAAGGTGTGGCTGGGTCCAAGGGCCAAGCCAGCAGCACGGAGTCACCCAGTGGCGTAGGAGTAGCACCACTTGGCAGCTTTAGGGAGGGGGACTGCTGCTCTTTTTGCTATCTTTAGTTTCTTGAGGCTCCTTGCATACAGCTCAGACATAGGGTTGCAAGTCCACCTGCATCTGAGGGGCTCCACGGCACTGGGACCCACCCCATGAGCTACCGGCAGAAGGACTCCTCTCACTCTACTCTGGCACCACAGTGATCTCACAGCCCGAGTGGGCATCTGGGGCGGCAAGCTGCTGCTGCAGAGCCCGTTGGGGAGCCAAAGCAGGCTCTGAGCCCGAGTGGCTGTGTTGGTTGGGGATCCGATAGCATTTCTGGCAGGCGTGGCATGCGCTAGCCAGATTCTGCCTCCCAAAATTCCCCCCGCAGCCTGGCTGCATTATTGATTCCTGCTTCCTGTCCCAAGCTGACAATTGGATTTGTTCTAGGCATCCAAACAGTTGTTGGATCCTCCTCCAAAAGGGGCTGTTGTTAGTTGGAGGAGAGTAATTCCTGGCTCCTCGAAGGTCTCTGGGGATGCGCAGCTCTGCAGATCCGCGCCAGCAGGGCTGCTCTGCCGGGCTGTCACGGAGCGCTGTGCACTAACTGCTTTGCCCTGCTCTTCCGCAGCCCTCGGGCCCTAGTGGGAGAGGAGCAGGACAGGCAGCAGGAGCCTCAGAAAATGAGCAGGTCAGAGCTAGGAGAAATGGCAAAAGCGGGAAAGAACAGATCAGTACAGTTGGCAGCTGGGTCATAGGCAGGATGTGGGACCAGACTGGAGTCCCATAAAACAGAATAAGAAAAGTGGAGGGAAGGGGCCAAATTGTGGAGCTGCTTCTTCCTTTTGCAGCCCTTGATGGGTATCCATCCTGCAGGGAGTAAACCCCATGGCAGGGAGAGCTTCCCAGCCTGGCCCTTCTGGCCTTTGAAGATAAAAATAAGTGCTACTGGTATTATATGTGGCTTTCTGTAAAAGAAACAGAGCTTGCGTGAGGGGTTATATGCACAAATGCGCTATGCGAGGTACGTTGCTCCTGTCTTCTCAGCGTGCAGAGCGACGGTGAGTCTGGGTCTGGCTGGCTGGGAGGAAGTGCAGCCGGTGCTGGCTGTAGCCCTCTTGCTCTGTGTCGATAGATCTTGTTGTTCCTCCTCCCCGACGAGCCACTGAAAATCAGGTCCCTTTTGGTGCGGTTGGACGGACGAAATTAAAAACGGCCTGTTTGGCGACGGAGGGGAACATATGACCTGTTACAAAGCATCTTTCGGGGTGGGGAAAAAAAAGAGGTGATTCCCTGTACTGAATTGTTTCCAGCAGCTGACACACTGTATTTGCCCGAGGAGAGTCCCCTCCCCTCACAAACAGCGACTGGGGGCTGTGCGTGTGCTGGCAGCTCTCACTCCACGCCAGAGCAGTGGGACGGGTCGACCTTCCTGAGCATCGCTACCCGCTCTGACGTGGCCAAGCTGCAGCAGCTCAATGTTGTCCTGACAGTCCTGTCACTTCTCTCCCCAGGCATCATCGACCTGTCCCAAGTGCCACACCTGCCTGTCCTCGTGCCCCCCACCCCTGGCACCTCGGCCACCTCCATGGACCGCATAACCTACATCCCTGGGCCCCCCCAGACCTTCAGCAGCTGAGACAGCAGCTCCCCGCTCTCCCCAGGTAATACTGGCAGGTTCCTTTTTCCGTAGGAAAATGGTCGGGCGGGAGTCCCGTAAACTATTCAGGAATATGAGCTCAGCACGCCAGCGAAAATTAGGGAGCCCACATTCATTCATATTCATGGCTCAAACCATTGGCTCTCTCAGACCAGCTCCTTCTAGGCTGTGCTGAGTTTGCTTGTTGGAGTCTTCCTTGCTTTTCCCCCATCTCTCCTGAAACGGCAGCTAGCAAACAGTCTTGTGTAAACGGTGTTCCCAGGAGAAGGTGCCGGGATAGCTATTGCATGACTTGCTTGGGCTTTGTCACGCTGGTTTTCCTGGTCTGTCCTCCTCCAGGTGACCTTGAATGGAGCCATTGCTTATCTGCTCCACAGACGAATTGATCTGAAGAGCGGGCAGTGTACCCTGCCTGGGAATTGCTCTGCCTGCAGTCCTTTCATTGCCTTTTGGTTTGTTTTTAGGAGGCCCCACACACATGACCAAACAGTCAGGATCATCGGTGTCTGAGCGGGAACGGGATCGGGATCGTGAACGTGAGAGGGAGCGCGAGAAGTCCATCCTAGCATCCACCACTGTGGAGCATGCACCCATCTGGAGACCAGGTAGGCTGGGGAGGAGCCCAGCACAACTCGTCAGGGCCAGTGCTGGGTGGAAGTAGGGTTGGGACTGTAACCAAAAGGGCTGAAGAAGTCCTTAACTGTGTCTGCCCCCAGGTACGGAGCAGTCCAGCAGCCGTTCGTCCTCGCACTCTCACAGCCACCAGCACTCTCCTGTCTCCCCCCGCACCCATGAGACCATCCAGCAGCGCCCCAGTGTGCTCCACAACACAAGCATGAAGATCATCTCCTCAGAGAACCCCACCCCTTCCGTCCTGCGGTACGTCCCCCCAGTAAAGTCGCTGCCACTTGCCGAGACCCCTGCACTGCGGCCAGCCACGGCAGTTAGTTAATGAGCATTGGTTCATGCACCACTGAGATTGAGCAAGGGTATTTTGGCCTTCAATCTCAGGGAGGGCAGGACTGGAGCTTGCAAAAAAGTTGTGATGGGGAGAAGCCGATTTTGGTACGCCTTTCCTTGGCGTTATCTGGTGGCTTTAACTACTACACGAAAGCAGGAAGGAACGTTTGAGTGCTGTCTGTGACCAAATACAAATATTACTCCTTTTACTGAAAGTTTCCTTCTTCTGGGATTATTAAGGTCTCTGAGACTTGTTCCATGGTTTCTGTTCTCTCTGTTTGATTCATCCTGACCACAGCAAATATCCCATGGCCAGCTATTGTGGGGCACACCTGGGTGGCAGAGGCTCAGGCTGAGCCCTTGTCACCTGCTCCAGCATGGGCCAGCTCAACGTTCAGGAGCTCTGAAAGGACCTTGGACAGACAGGGCTAATGCTTTGGCTAAACACCTGGGCTCTAGGGGATGGGTAGCAGCAGTTCCCCTTTGCCACTTGGTTCTCATGTCTTTGCCTCATTTTCTTTTGCCTCGAAGATCCTCGTCCACCACTACCACGTCGCCGATCCGCTCTGCAGGCTTCCCCTCAGCCTCCGCTCTGCGCTCCTCCATTGGCACGGTGGACAGCTATGCAGCCATGATGGACCCAGCCGTCCTACAGAAAGAGGCCTCGAGGGCCCGAGAAGCCAAGGTAGAACGTCCCCAGACTGACAACAACATATTCACCTCAAAGCTGCCCGCTGGGGCCAACCTAGAACAGTCGCCTTCGCCTATTAAAGCCATGGAGTCGAGGCCTTTACCCGCCTCTGGGCCCGGTTCTTCTCATCACTATAGCAGAGGACAGGGGAAAAGTCAGCAGCACCATCACTCTCTGGACCAGCAGCATGCAGCCTCAGGCCCCGAGCAGCACAGTAGAGAAAAGAGTCAAAGTAAACCCTTTTCAATGCAGGAACAGGAGCTCCGAGCACTCGGTAAGACCACCACGACAGCGGCCAACTTCATAGATGTGATTATCATGCGTCAAATTTCTTGCGATAAGGGGCAGCGAGAAAGAGGCTCGCTAAGTAACGACTCCACTAGTGATGGTAAGAAATTGGAAGGGAGGGGCGAGAGAGCGAATCTGTGGCCTGAAACCAATTTTACTTTATTATTTTCTTATTTTTAGTTGCACGTTTTGGCTATTGGCTTCATGAGGTCCCCAAGTGTGTTTGTTCATCTGCTTCCCGATTGTTACATTATTCCAGTCTTTTTATTTGTGTGTGTTTTAGGGATCTTCCCATCCCTCACCCTCTTTTAATTTTTTCCGTTGCCAAGTCTTGTTTTGCAAATGTCACTCAGTTCCTGGTATTGCTTTTTACGGACAATAGCAATTTGCTAATTCTGATTTCCCCATAATTAGAAAATCCCAGGCAGTCTGTAAGAAACAGTTGTGAGTAATAAATCAAATGAGCAAAGAGGAGAGCGTGATGGGGCTGCTGGCCATCAGACAGGCACATCCCTGCTCATTGTGGTGCCTTGGAGCATACAGGATCTCAAAGGGCTTTGCAGGCTGCCGAACGGTGTAGCTCTGACTGGATACCTTCACTTAGGGTCCCTAGCAGTGGATGTGGGATAAGAGGGAAATGTGGACAGGGAGGTTCAGGGACCGCTTAACACAGCCATGCTCTGCAACTATTTCCAGAGCAGACCATAGTAACCACTTGACAGCGATCCTGTGTACAACAGAGAAGTGGTGGGATAAGTTTTTCCAGAAGAGTGTGTGGGAAGGGAGTTGGATTCAGGGTCTGGGTTATTTGTGATGGGATAACTCTGGGGAGAGCTGTCTGCTTTTCCCAGAGCATTCATCCAGGCTCCCCATCAAGTGTGCAGAAGTAGCAGGTAGCGCGGTGATTTAATGGGGCACCTTCTTCAAGTTGGAGCATCTGCCAGCATCCTGCCGTAGCCATCAGCACTGGGTATCGCCACCAAATCCCTCTTACTATATATAACACAATAGGAAAGAGCATGGAAAACACATGGAAAGGGCATGGCAGTGTGGTCTGGGGGAGGAGAGCTGCTCTCCCTTGCGCTTCCTGATCCACTCATCCCGCTGCTCATTGATGTCTTTGTGCCCTTAGCCCTTCTAACAGAGGTCCAGGGCCCAGGATGTGCCTCTGACCATGGGTACATTGCCCGACTTAGCTTTTTCTGTACTTTTTTTGCTGATGTTAGTGCTTTCTCCAGCGGAACATTAACCGTGACGAGGAAGAGATGGGCTCCTCTTCTGTGATCCATGGGCTGAAGGAAAGGGTCTTGCATTCCCCAGGGCTTGCTTAATTTTTGGTGCCTGGGAGGCCGTGCCAGAGGGGCTGGCTCCCCCCAACGTGCGAGGTCGGTGTGTCAGGGCAACCACAACAAAGTCCACGCTGGGGACTGGGGCCCCTCAGACGGCGCCGTGGGTTGCATGCCAGATCCGCCTCAAATTGGCAGTTTCTAGGATTTCAGATTTAGGAGGTTAAAGGCCTGTTGAGATGAGAGTCGTAAGTGTTACCAAACTTTCTTAGCTGGAGAGAGGTGGTGTATGTCTCCCCCACCGTAGACCGTTGGACCTGGGGTTTAGGGAGTCCAGGACACCTGGGTCCTTTGCCCCTGGTCTATAGGAGCACAACCTGTCTGTGCCTCAGTTTTCTCTCTCTGCCAAAGATAGTCATGATCCATCATTCCAGCTCTGCCTGTTTTGATGCACCTTGAGGCCACACAAAGGGCTTAACAGGCAGAGAAAGGTCAAGGAGCCTTTTTGGCCCTCTGATGTCTCACTCTGGTGTCTTTGGAGCAGGATCTGGAGTCTGAAGGGCCTGGTGCCCTATTTTCAAATCACTGACGTTGGCTGCGTTGGGCTTTGGGCTTTTCTTTGTAAAGCGCTTTGAGATCTTCCTTGCAGGCCGCCTCCCCTCCTGCAGGGGATCGCTTTCCCTCCTGGCATAGCCTTGTTGCTATTTTTCCAGTGTTTCACTAGTGGAGGGAGAGGGGCCGAGCATGGGGCCAACGCGGAGGGGCTGAGTTTGGTGCACCGTGACTTGCGGCCTTCCCAGCTCCACGGGGAATGCAACGTTCTTGCTGACATCAGCAGAACGCAAAGTTGGAGGTGGCCCAGGGGTCCGCGCTCTGCAAGGGTGCGTGGGTGCTCCCATGGCTGCTGGGAGGGAGGATCCCGTTTATGCCTGTCACACGCTGCCCTGTCCTCTCCACTCCTCCGGAGCCACATCTGTTCCTCGCAGTTTCACCTGCCAGGTCTTCCTGGACCTCTTCATTCCCCTCTTTGCTGAACATGAGACTCCTCCCGCAAGCAGCCATTGCAACCACGCTCGGGAAGAGCAAAGAGAGGCCCAGCATAAAGGCCCTTCTTCCCCTTCCTCAGGCTTCCACGGTGGCTACAGCCCGGACCGCATCGAGGCCGTGAGTCCCGTGAGCTCGCCCAGCCTGGTCCATGAGAAGGGAGCCAAGCTGCTGCAGGACCCGGAGAAGGGACACGCAGAGCATGACCTGCGACAGAAACAGCAAGGTGAGGGTTGGCACCGTGGCAGGGATTGCCCGGCTCTCCATGCCCCGGTGCCATGTCAGGACATTGTTTGGTAGCTGAGGAAGAGGAGGCAGCTTTCGTTCCGCTCCAGCCTGTCCTTTCTGCCTCCCACAGCCTCCCTGAAGGCCTCGGCTCCTGAAGCAGCCCACCTGCAGCACCTCCGCCCGTCTGAGAGCCAGCAGCCCCCGTGTCAGCCGCTGCAGTCCAGCCAGAGCGTCAAAGGCATGAACCAGCGGGTAGTCACACTGGCCCAGCACATCAGTGTGAGTAAGGTTGCTCTCTCCTTCCTGGTGCCCTGGGGAGGAGGGTGGAGCCGTATCCAGAGCTGATGTGAAACCTTTCTGGTGGGGAGGGCTAGGAGTGGTGTTAGAGCTCTGAGCACCTGTGGTTTGGTGCACCATGCGTGTTCGGCCCGGACGGTTGCTTCCAAAACAAGCCTGTCGTGAGAGCTACGGCAGGCAGGAGGCAGAGGTTACATCCCTGCTGGCTGCAAGGACGAACCGGCCTAACCGGAGGGGAAATGCAGCCAGTGCAGAGCATCTCCTCCTGCTTGCGCTGTCTTAGTTGAGTCCTGCAAAGCGGGAAGTGGAAACCAACTCTGGTTTTGACTTGGGGTTTTCTTCTTCTAGGAGGTCATCACCCAGGACTACACACGTCATCACCCTCAGCAGCTGAACTCCCATATCCAGACCCCAGTGTACTCCTTCCCTGGGGCCGCGTGCCCCGTACTGGACCTGCGTCGCACCCCCAGCGAGGCCTATCTCCAGCAGCAGGAGCACGCAGCAGCCTCCAGGATCTCTCCGCAGAGCGAAGGAGGCAAAAGGTGAGGGTAGTAGTGAGGGTCAAACTAAAGCGGGCCCGGACGGGGGTTTTGCTAGCCCATTGTGCAATGTGAACCCGGATAGCGCAGGGCTACCCAGGGTGAAGAGCTGGACGGTGCTGTGGGTTACCTGGCACCCAGGTCGGGCAGTGCATAGGATGGGTTGTCATTTGACTTTGCTGGATTTTTGTCCCCAGTTTGAGGCTCACATGGATCGCTTGCTTATAATGCCCAGAGCATAAAGCCGTCTTCTGATCTTGGCATTTTTGCCCTGTCTTGCCTGTCTTGCCTGCCCGATTGTCCCAGGGATGCACTCAAGACCCCTTTAGAGAGGCTGTTCGTGATCCCCTTCCCCAGGTCGCTGGTGTCTTTGGTCCCTGGCAGGTCACTGCATGGTGACCTTTCAGATCCCAGATGGTTCCAAAAAACCCAATACAGTGCATTTTCTCTTGATTCAAGAAGAGTTTTATCTCCATCCATTTTCAGTGAATCGGAAGCTTGTTAGATATATGTGCGGTGTCAACTATAATTATCCATTTCAGGCACCAGCTTTATTTTTTTTAAAGTCACTTTCAAATTGCGCAAGTAACATCACAAGAAAAGTCTAACTGCTGTTGAAGTGAGTTGAAAAAAACTGAGAGTCTTTCACTGAAAGTCCTAGAATGGGGTCTATCCTCCCACCCTAAATGCAGACAGTTCAGTGAGACCCAGATATGTCCAGGAAGCAGTGGTGTCTCCAAACCTGTGATTCCCTGTCAGTAAATGTAATTATTTTTCCCAGCTCTGCATGGTCCTAGAATTGGCTTTGTAACATTAGGGAAGAGAACCCAGCCCTGGCCACCCAGAGAAGAAGAAAACTGAAAAAAGAAACCACAGACAGAACAAAGACGTAAATTCCCAGAACTCGCCGTGAGGAATTCCTCACGGACTCGACCCTGGCCGCCTCCCAGGCAGCTGGCTACATTCAGACATCAGAGGCCTTGCCAGTGTGTCCCATGGCTGTGTCGGTCCTCTCCAGGCTGGCCCCCAGCTGCATGGCTGATCCATGCAACCCCGCCAAAGAGCCCAGCAGGGCCCGCTCCTGACCCTGCAATGAGAGTGGACGGGAGGTGGCTGGATGCTGCCCTCCTGGAGCGCCGTAGCCACCTCCCATGTGTTAGCAAATATGATGGAGGGTTAAGAGAGACATCTCCCCAAAAGGTTAACACCCCAGCTCTCTGAAGGGCTGCGCAGCCGCTGGCCGGGGGGTAGCAGCAGTCAGTGTCCCTGCAAACGCAGGAGAGCTCTGGTGAGTAGAGGGTCCCATGGGCTGAGCCAGAATGTCCCAGGACTTGTCCCTCCATCTTCCCTGGGTAACTATATTTGGGCCAGTTGCTAGCTGGCCCGCTGCCTGGAAATCTGGGCTGCATCTCAGTTCAGGCCTTCTCTGCACTCCTGTGGTTCAAAAAATGCCCAAGCTGCTCTGTTCCTAAGGCTTGTGTTAAAAGGCACCGTAAGCCCACAAGGGTGTGGAAGGTTTGGCTTCTTTCCTCGCTTTACAGAAAGCTATTTCATTGCATCTCCCATCACCATCCACAGATCCCCGGAGCAGAGCAAAGCCTCGGCAGGGAGCGGGCCAGACAACTGTATCGAGCCCGTTTCTCCACCAGACGGCGTGGGAGAATCGGAGCACGCCAAGAACGCCACATACCCGATCCTGTACCGAGAGGGCGAGCAGCTAGACCAGAGGTAGCGCAGAGGGAGGGGGAGGTGGGAAAAATGTGAGGGTGTTCCCCCTGTCCCCACGCCACCTTGGGCCGCGGGAGGACCTGCCCCTGCCTTGCCCTGTGAAGTGTCCCCATCGCTGCCTGCCGCTCGGCATGCAGGGTATGGCCAGGCCAGCTGGGGGTTGTCTCCTTTCTATAGCTCTGATAATCCAACAACAGGGTGAGGGGCCAGCTGGCTCCCGAAACCTCCTCTCTGAGGAGCTGACCTCCAAGATCCTCCTCCTAGACGTAGCCTTGTGCTGTTTGCCCACTGCTGTGCAAGCACATCCTAGCAAATTGCCCGTCTCCCAGTGAGCCTATGCAGAAACGGAGGCGTCCTGACACTCCTGGCAGATCCCAGCACCCCCAGTCTGTCAGCTCCTATCCCTTCCCCCCAGAGTGGAGGATGGCCTGGCCCTTCTTTGGTACCTTTGGAAACATTGTTCTGTACAAACTGTCTTCTTGAATGTTTGCCTGAGTAGAAAAGATCTGCCTCTAAGGAACTGAATTTTAGATCTGAGAAGGGAATTTAGTTGGACTCATTCATTGCAAGGTAAGAACAATTAGGACAAAAGAATTTTCCTTGCAGGCAAAAGTTGTGTCGCATCCCAGATTTCTGTCTGTTTAGAGGGGTGTTTCCACAGTGTGATACATCTGAAGTAGAGCTGGGGAGAAAAGTTGGAGATCCCAAATAGCGCAGGAGCCCAGGGGCTGATTTGGGAGAGTTACGGTTAAGGTGGGATTTTGTGCGTTAGCCGTTGCAGTGGTTTCTAACAGCCTTTTGCTTTGCAGGATGGGGTCCAAGTCCCCAGGAAATAACACCCAGCCTCCAGCTTTCTTCAGCAAGCTGACTGAGAGCAACTCTGCCATGGTGAAATCCAAGAAGCAGGAGATCATCAAGAAGCTCAGCACGACCAACAAGAATGAGACGGAGTACAGTAAGGACGTGTGGGGAGGCGAGTGGGGGGCAGGAGGGGGGCAAGCCTTGAGGACACACGGAGCAAAGGAGATTTGAGAGTGGGGTGCTGCTGTAAGTTAAGGGCTAGGACTGCCACCCAGTTGTCTCCTGGTCGTGCCGTGGTTTGCTGGGAAGCGTGAGTACTGGCTGCTTTCTGCAGTGAGCCGCCTTGGTCCTGTCAGCTGTGAGCATCCAGGGGGACAATGGGAGGACTTCCCAGCTGTGTGTCTCCTTGCTCTGGGGCTGTCGGTCCAACCTGTGTGGCAGCACCAGATAACCTCAATAGGAAGGAAATAATCAGCTGAGCATGGAGGAGACTTAAAAGCAATTGATATTTTAATGAATAGCCAGCCAAGCTAAATCCTTCCTCCTTGAGATGCATCTCCCCCCAACATTACTTTAATCCCTCCATCAATATTGGTACAGCTCTGTAAAACTGACTTGTATTAGAAATTCAGCCCATTCGTTCATTAACCGCTAATAGAGAAGATAGGATCATAATTTAATTTAGCCCAGCATTATACAGTCAATACTAATTCAATTTGAATCCATCTTACAACAGCTGCATCGGATAAGAGGGAGCAAGCTGTCTCGTCTCCTGGATGATGTTACCATGAGCCAACTGTATTATTATGCCCCTTTGGGGACATGCAGCTGAACCCCATAACCTTCCACACTTTCCCTTATCAAGGGAAAACAAACAGAAATAGGAAACACCTCTTATTTTATGAGAATTTCTGTTATTCTAAGGAAAGCGATATCCAAGTCAAACAGCTCAGCTAAGAGGGAAAATATTGATTTAACGTTTCTTCTCCTCCTCGCCCTCCCCACTGCCCACAACTGCTCCCTGGATATGGAGATTTGAGTCTTTGGAAGCCCTGCAGGCAGGAGAGAGGGTTTAACTTTGCGGTACTTGTAATGCGAAAGGGCTGGAGGTGGGAGGTCAGCACTGAGCATGGAGACACTGCCCTGGGTCTTTGGGGTCTGCTTTTCTGCCCACTTCCACCTGGCAAGAAGTGGTGGCTGTGGTTCCCCAGAAGGCAAAGGCAATGATTTATGGTCCCAGCATCTGCAGACCTGCCTTAGTTCCTGGGGGATGTGGGTTGTTGCCAGCCTGGGCACTGTGATGGGGACACCAGGACCTTACCATGGCCAGCGTGACAGGTCTGCCCTTGCAGCCAGCCCATTTGCACTGCTTTCCATACTAAAGAGCTTCTTTCTTTTTTTCCAGATGTTGGGCAGCCCGGAACAGAGATTTTCAATATGCCAGCTATTACCGGAGCAGGTAACTCTCACACTGTATCTATGTCATACCTCCTTACAGAGTTCACAGCTATGTTCACAGCTATGAAGAAAAGCAGCCTCAGTAGATTTAAGACTTGTGGGGGGGGAGGGGGTGGATTTTTTTTGCAATAAGGCCTAGCATAACTGTTGCTGAGGGGCTGAAGGCCTCAGTACACACCGTAACTCCCTGATGTGGAGTTGGAGACAAGGCGACGTAATTCCTCTGAAAGCCGTGCAGGCCTCAGAGGTTGAGCAGAGGTTAAAACTCCAACAGTGATACCAACAGAAAGCCTGTCAGCAAGGGGTTGGCCAGGTCTGTCTGAGTTGGCAATCTGATACCAACAGAGAGGATTGACCTATAGCAGCGCGGTGCCTTCAGGGCGCATTAGCACCGGCAGCAGGTAAGATGCGCAGGAGGTCCACCCTCCCTGGGAGGAAAAGCCGCAGCACACGTCCTGCAGAGCAGGACCCTGTGCTGCTCAGCAGCAAGGTTCGGGGAGAGAGCACCGTGGTCTTGGCAGGACCTTGTGGCCACACAGGTAGGAAGAGGAGGCAGTGGATGGGTCACAGGGCATCAGCAAAGGGGAGCGAGGGTGGGAAACAGGCTTCCCACCACCGTGGGCTGGACGCAATGCGGAATTGCTTGTGGGAGCAAACTCAGGTAGTCACAGCATCTCCTGGCCTTGAACTGAGAGCGTTTGGGCAAACAGGTGATGGCTGAAAACAGAGGGAGGGTGTTATCTGGGGGATGGAGGGGTGGTCGGGCACAGGAGTGCTGGCAATGCATTTAGTCCTCCACGTACTTAAAGCACAGGTTGACTTTGCTTTCTCAGTAGCTGGGAGGAGGAGAAAGTGCAGCTGGTGGCTGGGTCCTTGCTCCCTTCCAGCCACATCAGTGCAGCTAGTCCTACGCAGAAGAGCTTTCTGGGCAGGATTATGTCACCCTCTGACGATATGCAGAGAGGGGGAGTTTTGTGGTGCCATTGGGGTGACAGAGGCTTTAAGCCAGGAAGCCTGGTTCTGGAGTAACAGTTTTTTGTTGGTGGTATCTGAGCACCTCTGCAGAGCCCCGTGCAGGCTCCAGGCAGCCGTGGCGTGGTTCAGTGCGGGTCCCCAACCTTAACTAGCATCAACTGCTGGCTAACACGTGGGACATTGCCCCAGGCACCAAAGAGCTGGGGTGCAGCCACCCTGCTCTCAGGGAGCTGGGAAGGGCTCGGCACAGTCGCCCAGAGCCCTGTGGGGACCATGCAGGACACTGCATTCTCTTGAGCTCGGCTACCCCCATGGCTCTCAACCCAGCAGGGAAAATGGGAGAGAGGGAGAAGCTGAAGGAAGTGATTCTGGCAAAGAAGGCTGAAAGCGGCCCCATGGCGTGAGGGGGGCACTGAGGGCTTCCTGGGCGCAGCGCAGAGATCAGCCAGGCAGGAGGACAGCGCGAGGGCTGCTGAGCTGCCACCAGCCCTGTCTATAAGACAGCAGCACCTCCTGCCAACATAGCTGCCATGTACGTTTATGGGCTGGCAGAAGCGTCCGTGTGGGCTGCTGGCATGCACATGCTGTCAGGAGACTCTTCTGCGGGGTTTCCTTGCTGCACCGCGTCTGCGTGCAGGTGGAGACGGCTGCGCTTGCCTCTGCGGCGCTGGGGCTCGGCCGAGGCTCCCCGCAGTATTGCTGGTTGCGCCTTTCAAGGGGTCGCCCCCGAGGCTGAGGTCTGGGCCCTGTGCAGCTTACGTCCGTTGCAGCCTGGTCTTTTTCCCACCCAAACGTGTTCCCTTGTAAGTGTCGGCGGCTGCTGGAGCCACGCGGCCCAGAGCCTTTCCCCACCGAAGGCCGCTTTCCCCCACGCGATCAGGAATTAACCTTAGCGAGTCCCTGGCAGAGTTAGGTGTGGACGGGAGCAAGACAATTTGGGAGGTTCCAGTAAGAGTACAAGGAGCTGGTGGGGCGCCCCGGGTCTCCTCCCGGCTCGGCCGCTGACGTGCCTGTGGCCTTCAACACAGACCAGGAAACAGAGATGGTAGGATGGAGGTTCCCGCTTCCTGGGAAGCCGCGAGCCGCCGGAGTTTGCAGCGCCCAGAGGCAGGAGGCATGTTGTACACGCACTGTACACCTGCCTGCGGCGCTCAGCGGAAACCCAACCCAGCCGGCAGCGCAGCTTTCTCCGATGCCTTTTCGTTTAGCAGCATTAACGGCCTCCGACAGTGGGAACCCCTTCAGGCTGCTGTTTTTAAGTGATGGCTAAACTTTGCCCCAACCGAGGGAAAAGCCCCAGGGCCTGCTCTGGTTTCCGGCCGCAGCATCCGCGAGATGCGGGCGTTGCTTGGCCAGGGTGTTAGCGTGCAGGCCGTCCCGTGCAGGGTCACGTTTGTAGGATACTTTCCTGCCTTTGGTTTAAGATCCTGAGCCAAGAGCTGTGTTGGCATCGATGCTTGTGGTAGGTGTGGGAAGGCAAAGCCGGGAACGGTGTAAAACAGCTCACGTTTGGGAGAAGGAGCCAGGACAGGAGGATGCTGCTGGCCGCGACCTGGTGGTCCGTGGCCGGCGAAACGCAGCGGGGGACACCCAACCTCTTGAGAGCCTGCCCGGGTCAAAGCCCGTCCCGCTGCATTTGAGGGAAGAGCGAAGGCAAACCGTAGGGAGTTGAGTCCCGCGTGGCGTGGAGGGGGAGCCGGGGGGCACGCTGCCCCTTCCCAGGAAGACGAGGGAGCTGGGGGGCCGCCCTCACCGGCCCGCTGTTCTCGTTCGTGCCTGTATTTTGCCCTTGCTTGTCTCCTGTAACCGCCGCGCTGGGAATGCCGGGCGCGTGGCTGGGCCTCT